GCAGATTTTCTGATAGCCCTTGCTTTGCCCAATAACCACTTGACCACTCTTCTTCACGTAAGGTTAAATTCTTAAAAGCTGTGGGAGACAATGATATGAGCTATGATAAATTCAAGAATTTCAAGAAGTGCTTCTATACCTGCTGCTATCAATCTTCATCCCATCTTAAGAGTTCTGTTTCTCTCTGCTTTTTCTTTGAAGGATTTGAAGAACTACCATTGATTTTATTTGTAAGAAGAGGTGGAGAATACACTTGACCAGTTCAATTGAAAATGCTTTGAGTCACAGAATGCTTATTTTTGTAACACTGCAACTGTTCAGATCCAATCTATTCAAATACATGCTGCATGACATGAAAGAACACCTATTTCAATTTAGCAAGTAACATCAGCTTGATCCCAGCATTAAGCTGCTGATTGAATGCCCAGGTACTATCAACAACCACGTATTTCAAAATCACCATTAGAATTCAATTCCAATTATTTCCTAAAAATACTTCTAAAAATATCAGCTTCCTAAAGCCAAAAGAACCAAGATGGACAAGTTCCAGGCCTGCAAGGAAGCCAGAAATGACCTGCATTTTGTTCTGTGAACAAATATGTACAATAGATGTTGCCAGCTCTGTAAAATTTATCAGAAAACTTGCTATAGCTTATTTTCAAATCTCATCTAGATATATTGTCCTATAATAATATTTTTAATTCACTTCTGAACTTTTAAACTGCCCTTGATTGGTTTAGGGTCTGATTCTGGTTTTTTCTGAGCATTTAAGGTTGGCAATAGTCACCATTTCACACAAAAAGCTACCCAAAAAAGGTTAAAATTTCTCTCTTCTTCAAACACAGTTCAGTAAAGAAGTACTCTACTGATGTCAGCTACTGACATTGTTAATAACATGGTCATTAATGCAAGCACAAATAAAATATAAAGCCTTGTATTTGATGTAAGAAACACCTAAATTATACATCATAATTAAAGTGCAATGACCCTGCTAAAGAAATAAAAACCCTAATGATTTAAAGTTTCTGGATGAGACCATAGAAAATGCTGAGAGCTTTTTCCATAGGAAGTTAAAGCAATGAGGCTTTGTGTACCTGGAATGCAAAAAGTCATGGTACTGACTGAGGTTCAGACACCAAGTCCACTGAAATCAATGTTAATTCCCCTTCACTGGCTTCAAAGGCCAGTGGATTAGGTTTTTAATTGTTCAACGCTTATGGCACAAAATAGTTTTGTAATGTATTCTAATAGTTTTCATGCTTTAGGAGAATCAATTGCATGGTTAGAGGTACAATGCTTTGCAAACCTGTGGTCTAAGACTCCACAAATGAAGTTATAAGTGCAAAGGAGAGAGGACAACCAGGCCATTAGGAGACAATTTGAAGAAAGCAAGTTCATGAAAACACACAAAATGAGTCACCAAGCAGGACAGAATCTTCAAAAGATTTTAAAAAAATGCAAATTTGTTAACAGATTAATATTTCTTGTCAATTAACATCATGGACTAAGAATAACAGGTCCTCACGACTCACTAGATGTTCATATGAACTTCAGGTAGTTCACAGTGTTTTGCAAACAGGATCTTCCGCCATTCAGTTTAGTCACAAAAGTTCTTGGCAGGTCTGCTGCAGTTACAGCCAGAACTGTTCTGCAGAAGTGCAGGAAGACTTGGGCTGCACACAAGAGCTGCAGATAATGCATCAGCCTTACTTACCATACCACAGAATCTGGAGTTTTCTGTCAATACAGACGTAACTAAGTCTCAGTGTTTTCTCTCTTTGATCTCAGTTATTCTTAAGGTCCTTTTACTGTCTCAAGCTGTTCCTCATCAAACATGCACAAAGAATTTAGTAGGGTGGATATGTTACACCAAGTGGGCAGAACTGCCTCAGAGTATACAGGCAGTTGGACAATCGTTTTGCTCCTGAAGACAGGAATTCAGAGAAATGGCACCCCGGTGACTTCTGTAGAGGTTTGCTGAGTGACTGTTTCATAATCCCATTTTCCTCTGGCTAAACTGTATTTCCCATTTAAGTAGCAGAGTGTACTCTCAGGATAAATGCAAGTTATATATCACTGGTGGTGTATGGCCACTTGGCTGGAAGATGAAAGGGGCATGAGATACTTGAACTGTGACTTGCAAGAAAGTCTGCAGTGGCTTTCCTGAATTGGTACTTTCATCTTTTAGCTAAAATTCCTCACCACTGGCTTTGGGAGAGAGAAAAAGTTTTGAAAAAAAATTTATGAGACAACTGTAATTTTTGTAATGTTTGCTTTAGTTAGAGCCTCAGTCCACCAGAAGAGAGTGTCAGTGGGAAATGTACACACTACTCTGCATTTTTATACACAACTTTTTAATGTAAAACTTTACCTTCTCCTAATATGGATCTGCAAAAGCTGAAAGCTACATATGCATTCCTATACCAGGTTGCACATCTTCAAATTTATTCTTGTACTTTAAAGCTCTTTTGGCTAGTTTGGGATAGTTATTAGACAAATATTGAAGCAACGGCACTGAAGTGCGCTCCTCCCCAGCTTGCTTTCCTGAGTACCTTGTAAATAAGCAGTGTGATACTGCCATGCAAATTAAACTATGATGAAGGCTTTTTAAGGCAGTCTGTTTAGCATAGTCTTCATCCTATGATTTTTAAGAATTTCTTGTTAACTAAGGGCTAAATGGTACTTATTAATTCATTTTTATCTGTAGCTTTAGGGAATAGAAAAAAACCTGAAAATTAACAACTTGTGCCCCCTACCTTAACTCTCACTTGGTCCCCCTTCAATGTTTGACACAGCCAGTGCCAAAAAAAGAGATCTTGTTGAAGAAGTTTCATGAGTCCTTGGCATATGTGATCCCAGGCATTTTTCTCACAAGTCTGTTTCAAATTCCAGTCACAACAGAAACACAGCAATTGAACTGATTGGTTGTCAGCTTTAAGAAAGTGACTATATCACTTTTTTTGTCACTGTATTTTTATCACATTGGCCATATCGTGGAGCCCTCTCTGTAGGGAGGTTACTTGATCCTGCAGGAACTGCTCTAAGGTTGGTTGGGGGTTTTTTTCACCAGCTAATAGCGTTTAGCATTTCACCAGTCCACATTAAACTCAGTGTACAAGCAGTTAAGAAAAGTACTGTATCTGGCACTGTTTAATGTCACTGACATGAAATGTGAGCAGCTGTGCCAGCATTCCTGAACTCTGAAAGTACTTTACCTTTCCTCTGTCTTTTGGAAATTAAATACATTTTAGTACATTTTTGGGAAATAAATACATTTTAATACAGTGCTATAATGTTAGGAAGGTCAAAGGATTAACTATGTCTTGTCATCTAGATACTAAAAGAAATCAAGAACATTTTAATCATAGAGATGGCTAGCTGCCCTGTATCTCCAGGTTCACCAGGGCTGAGTGCTCTTTGCGTGGCAGAGCTGTATGGCAATTTAATGAAAAGGTTGTCCCTAGTTTCTGACTATGCATGCACACTCCCTGGAAGAACTATTTCTGACTGCTATTTTAGCCTTAGCACATTGTCATTAGACATCGTTGGACAAGCTTTAATCTCTGAAGAGCCAAGACCAAAAATTCTGATTAATATCATCAGATATCAAAATCCTCTATTTCAATTAACTTAAAAAAAAGGACCGTTATATTTTGTATTTAAGTCAAGAATGGGGATATTTTCCCTTTTGCTACATTTTTTTATATTAAAAGAAATAAAAATGCAAAATAGCTTTTTCCTATTGATTTTATAGACCTGAGAAGAAGAAGAGCATTTGCCTTCCAGCACAATTAAGTGATCTCCTTCAACAGATCCTTCTTCACGTGAATATGGCTTCACTGGCCTTTGCACATCAGCTAGATCACTGCCGAGGCTAGTGGGTTTCTGAGAGTTAGTACCTTGTTCCACCTGGCCACTAACCAAAAAAACCTATTTTTGAATGTCAGTTCTAGGGCCCCATTGCAGACAACCATGCTGGGACTTCCTGGGAAGACACTGGGGAAGAGTTACCAGGAAGAAGATCTGTGCAGGAGCAGGAAAACTCCATTACTGCCCATTTGACTATTGTTCGATTGGAATTTTCTTTTGATGCATTAAAATATCCTCAGTGAGATCCTCAGGCTATGCAAAACCCACCTGACTCTCCATTAATTTAGCAGTTTCCTGGGTGGTTTGTAGTCGGTGTAGAGATTTACTTGCTTGCATGGAAAAGAAAGGAAGACAGTTTTATGAGGAAGGCTGAGGAAACATTTTTAATGGTCAAGAGAATACAAGAACAATGGGATCCCCCAACACCGAGAATGGAGCCAAAGGGGCCACGGACCATGGAGTCAGAACAGATGTCAAAATGGAAATTTCCATTTTCAGTGGAGTTTTAACTTCCTGGCAAACAGCTTTAGGTGGTATCAGTTTTGAACTAGACAAACAGGTGTGTCCTGTATCCCTCTTTGTGTTTTTGTTTGTTTGGTTTCGTTGTTTTGTTTTTTTATAATGCAGTGATGTGTAAATCAAGTCAAATTAAAGCCAATACCACACACACACTTACATCATGGCAGCACCAGCAGATTCCTTTCCATTTTAAGCAGTGAAAAACAAATAGTCATTGCCAGAGGCAGCTGTGTGTAGTCATCTCGAGCTACATCCCTTCCTTGAAAGTGGAGGGATCTCAGTTTATGAGCTCCAGAATCCCATGTGATGGTTGATTTCCAGTTTTGCAGTACAAGAGAAAACCGTTTGAAATTACAAGACTGTCAAAATGCAGTTGAGCTCTAGAGACACATATTCCTAAAGATTCTTAGGAAGAGTGCAGTAAGTTTTCTAAATATTCTTTTTCTGCATTTATTTGTTCATTTTTAAAGGAAAAAGGGTACTATAACAGCTTAAATATTTTCATGACAATTATTTAACTGTCTTCCAAATCACCAAAAATCAAAGGACCAAACCTTGTGAAAGGTTAAAACTTCATGATCAGACCTTGGAAGCTACAGGACTTTTTAAGCTCCTAGAATCCCAGTTATTTAAAGGTTTCTATTTATTTCTGACTTCTTAAAGAGTAAGCATCAGTCTGTGTGTAAGACTAGAAGACTGAGAAATGGTATCTGGATTTCTCCCCTTGCAGTAGGTATTGGAGGTGAGACAAAATAATGTCTCTGATTGTCCCTTTAGGCATTTGACTGCCAACATAGCAAAGAGGAAAACACTAACAAAAAAACAATGGAGAAGAAAGGGAAACACTGTTTACATGTAAGCTCTGCACAAAATACTTTGTGGAGTTAAAAGCCCAATATTCAGCTTATTTAAACCCACATTGTTATGTTAAAGTCAAAGCAGCTCTGCCAATTTACTGTAGCTAAGATTAGCTATTTCCATTGCTTAGAAAAACACAGGAAAAAACCTGATTTTTTTAGAAATCATTGAACAAAACTGAGCAATATTTTACTATATCTTATGTATGTGATTCTTAGAAAAGTGAAGAAAAGAACCCCTTAACAACCCAGCAAATTTATTTGTTTATTTCTGACAGTGTTTTTCATTAATAAACAAAGTTTAGTTCAATATCAGATTATCCATTTTATGTGAAGCTGAATTCAAACTGCTGTTTTTCTCATTAAAAAAAAAGGGATGTTCCCCTTAGATTAAACAGAAGGTGGACTATATCAAAACTTCTTCCAATCCAGTTTCAGTTCTTCCCCTATGGTGTCCCAATTCTCAATTCAGACTTATTTCCATATTTATTTTAGAAGTCACTCTTCCAGGATCTCATGATGTCTTTAGCACATGGACAGAATATCGTGTTTGGTGCCAGGAACGCAGTGAAAGAGAAAAAAAATCAGGAGAAGATCTGAGGGGAAAAAAAAAAAAAAAAAGGAACACAAAACCAGAGAAAACAAGCAAACAAATGAACCAAAACACACTGGGCTTCAAAAATGAGCAGCCACAGTGGGGTTCCACTGCAATTTGATTATGTAATAACCTCTTTTCTTCCCCCAGAAGGTAATGCAGAGTTGTGAAGTTCAAATGTAATACAGAGGATATTGTTTGTTAGAGTGAAAACAAAGTGACAAGCTAGTTATAATGCCAGGCCTGTTTCCGATACTTTGAGAAACATGGACATTATGTGTTGAGTGTCAGTTTGAGTTAGTTTTATTTCGTTCTAGGAACAGAAAGGCTTTGCCTCGCTCCTGGCGTGCACATAACAAAGGTTAGACCCTTTCCATACTCTGAGTTTACTTTAACTGTAAATTAGATATTGAGTGAAGACTGAGAGATTTAGAATTGAGATTTAGCTTGAGATTTAGAATTTGCCAGATTTGTTTGTAGAGAACAAATGGCTCTTTAATCTTTTCCTTAGTATGTTTCATGGATCAAATTCTTCCACCTTCTTCCACTGCATAGTGCCTTACTCTCAAGAGCAACCTTACTGAAGAATATGATATTACTAAATTTGAGGACGGTCTGTCAACTCTCACCATGTTTTAATTATGAGGGTGCAACTAAATCAAAAGTTTTGCACAGATTTCAACCTGTGTTTTCTCCATAATGAAGGTGCTTTGGAAGGCGACTGGAGTCAGAGATAGGAATCAGTACCTACAGTACCCACAGAACCAGATTGACATGTCTGGCAAATTCTGGTATTTGACATTCAGCACTTGGTTTTCTGTGGATCAATGTTTAATTAAGAGTACCCTGGCCTTTCTAAATAAAATTACAAAAGACTATTCAACCATAGTTTGTCTCTCAACTGATCTTGGAATAGGCTTGTTTCATAACTGAAGAACTGTGCCAGTTTGAGCTTCTTTCTGCTAACATATTGGGATTGTCATGACTATGCATTGCAATATTAGTAATTTGGATTACCGGGAAATAAAAGTGAATTTTGCAATGGTTATGCTACCCTTGATTTAAAATAGAAATGAACAAAGTTCATGACTGACAGTTCTGTTCAAAATCAATCAGACCAATTTGTAAATAGAAGATTCTCTACTAAAATAATTGTATAAGGCAGCTATCTGCAAGTGCAGAGTCTAGTATACAGATTTTAAAGGTTCTGCTTCTTTTCACTAACATCATGTCTTTCTCAGGACAAATGTTTAGGCAATTACTGTAAGTATGATAAGAACTCCATTTTCCATATGAAGTACAGAAAATGAGTAGTCACACAGGACTGTATAATTACATCTACCCCCAACACCCCCAAGAAAATCTTTCACTCAGACAGCATGAGATTGTTTATTTGATACATCAGTGTTAAAATCATACAAAAACATGTGGAAGAAAATTAGGAATTAAATTATGTCTTCTCTTCGAGTCCCATTAGGGAAACTGAAGGGAGCAAAGAGAGGACAAAGTAATGTGAACTCAGTGTGAAGGAATGTAGCTAATGTTCCTTATCTGACCTCATGCTGAGCCACAGCACCAGTGCGGAGCAGTTCTTCTATGGCATCATCCTCATACCCCAGCATGCTCTTCAGTATCTCCACTGTATGCTGTCCAATAAGTGGAGGTGGCTTTGGATGTGACACATCAAATTCACTGTATCTGACACCTGGTCCTGTAAAAAAAAAGCAAATTATTTTCCAGAGTTACTACTCATATTTATGTTGAAATTTCTATGTTAGTTTAAAGGAAATTATCTCATTTTTGCACCAGTCTAATTGCAGTCCTTATCACAGAAATGTTATATTCTAGAATTACTAAAAAAATGTTGTCCTTAATAATGCACCAATAAACCAGCTTTAAATAGTTTACTCAAATGAAGAGCTGATGGATATTCACCCAATGTTGAGAAAATCTTCTCATTTTTCCCAGTGACATGTATATCAGGGTGCTCTGAGTCATATTATGTCATAGGTCTGCCACTCTCTGCTACCTGAATGACAAAGACAATGCCCAGCCCATTCAACAGGATGTGGTACAGAAATCCCCAGTCTGTCTTCAACAGGAGGCAGGACAAGCATAAAGACACAATGAAATGTCATGTTAACACACTGTCACTGATGTCAGAGCAGTGCATGGACAATGGAAAACACCATCTCCACTTGACAACAGCTCAGGTACCTCTGCAGTGTGCTCCATTATCCTGCAGTGATATAAAACTGACAGCACATAGAGCAATGATATTACCCAGCTTGGTTTACATTTTCTATCAAAAAATACAGATAGAAGCAGCTGTAAAAAAATCAACAACGGTTTATCTACTCTGTCAAGAATAATTTCAAGGTGGAAATCTGAAAGCTGGCAGTGATATTAGGACTTCTGTCTTCTATTGCAGGTAGTCAGATCTCACTTTTTAGTGACACTCTGAAGTGAACTGAACAGATTTCAGTGTAGTTCCCTGAAGACAAGTAACTATAGCACTACTACCAAACTCTAAGGAGAGAATGAGCTACAAATTTACTCTGTGATCACAAGTGAGGTATCGACTCAGCACATGCTGATTTGGCATATTTCTGATGAGTATGCTCCTCAAAAAGTCCAAATGGTTGGACTCAATGATCTTAAAAGTCTTTTCCAACCCACAGGATTCTATGACATGGTTTCTGTGTTAAAAAGGAAAGGAGGCAGAATTGGGAATGCGGACCAAATCATTTAACTTCCATTCAATGCTGAAACAAACAATCACAATGAAAATACTCAGGACAGGAGTAACAGCCAGCATGTACCTATTAAGAACAAACAGAGTATGCAATCTCTTGTCTTTCCACCAGAAGAAGGGCTGGAGGTGAGATCCATCCCATATATCTTTAGTAGCCAATAACCTAGATATAGAAGTTTAGTTCCTTAGACTCTCTTTGGAGACACTGAAGATGAAAAGACACACTTAGAGTGTAGTTCTTCTAAGACACTGGTAAGTGACTAAACCTGGTCAGATGAATTGTGATCACCCATGTTTTTCCATAAAAGAAAGGGTAGACAAGTAACTTACATGCAGAGCTTTAACACCCATACGTCAAGTCAGGTGAGGTGACCCTCTGTCATGGTTTAACTTCAGCCAGAAATCAAGGACCACACAGCCGCTTGCTCACTCCCCGACCAACAGGATTGGAGGGAGAATTAGAAAGGATAAAAGCCAGAAAACTCATGGGTTGAGGTAAAGAAAATTTAATAGGGAAAGCAAAGGCCTCATACGTGAACAAGCAAAATGAGGAACTAATTCACTGCTTCCCATGGGCAGGCAGGTGTTCAGACATCTCCAGGAGAGTAGGGTCCCATCACACATAATGGTTATTTGGGAAGACAAATGCCATCATTTCAAATGTCCCCCCCTTCTTCATTCTTTCCCCCATGTTATATACTTAGCATGACGTCACATGGTACGGGTCAGTTTGGGTCACTTGTCCTGGTTGTATTGCCTCACCTCCAGCCTCCTTGCCAGCATGGCAATATGAGAAGCAGAGAAAGCCTTGTGTAAAGCAGTGCTGTGTAAGCACTCCTCAGGAATAACAAAAGCATCTCTATATGTACTCAGCACAAATCCAAAACATAGCCCCATACTAACCACTATGAAGAAAATTAACTCTACCCCAAACAAAACCAGCACACAGAATCACAGAATATTATTCAATGCTGTGGTGGGTTGACCTTGGCTGGATGCCAGGTGCCCACCTAGTCACTATATCACTCCCCTTCCCAGCCAGGCAGGAGAGAGAGTAAGGTGGAAAAACAATTTGTGGGCTGGAATAAGGTAGTTTATTTAAAGCGAAAGCAAAGTGGAAACTTTCGCATGCAAAAGTGAAGCAAAGTGAAAGATAGAAGGGTTTATTCTGTACTTCCCGTGTGCAGTGATGGCTGGCCACTCCTGAGTAGCAGGGCTTCAGCACATGTAACAGTTCCTCAGCAGGTAGCCATTGGAGACAATGAACGTCTACCTTCCTGCTCCGTACCTTAGCTTTTATCTCTGAGCTGACGTCATATGGTATGGAATATCCCCTTGGTCAGTTTGGGTCAGCTGGCCTACTTGTGTCCCCTCCCAGGATCTTGCCCTCGATTGTGGAAGGGATGTTGCAGTGTTGGTGCTGTGCTCAGCAGTAGCCAAAACACTGGTGTGTTATGAACACCCTTCTAGCTACCAGTGCAAAGCACAGCAGTGCTTGAGGGATACTACGGGGAAACGAACCCCAGCTCAGCCAGACCCAATACAAATGCTGAGCTGGAAGGGACTCATAAGGATCATCAGGTTCAACTACTGGCCCTGCACAGAACCAACCCCAAGAGTTACACCATGTGCCCAAGAGTATCATCCAAACACTTGTTGAACTCTATCAGGCTTGGTGCTGTGACCCCTTCTCTGGGGAACCTGTTCCAGTGCCCAGACATCTTCCTTTTTCTAGTATTTAATCTAAACCTCCCCTGACACAATTTCAGGACATTCCCTCAGGTCCCGTCACTGGTGACCAGAGGGAAGAGATCAGTGCATGCCCCTCCTCTTCCCCTCATGAGGAAGTTGTAGACTGTAATGAGGTCTCCCCTCAGTCTCCTCCAGGCTGAACAGACCAAGTGCCCTCAGTTGCTCCTCATGTGGCTTCCTCTCACGGCCCTTCACCATCTTCCTTGCCTTCCTTTGGACCCTCTCTAGTAGCTTAATATCTTTCTTATATTGTGGCACCCAAAACTGCACACAGAACTTCATGTGAGGCCACCGCAGTGCAGAGCAGAGCAGGACAATCCCCTCCCTTGCCCGGCTGGTGATGCTTTGCCTGATGTCCCCCAGGACAGGGTTGGCCATCCTGGTTGCCAGGGCACTGCTGACTCATATCCGACTTGCCATTGACCAGGACCCTCAGGTCCCTTTCCACAGCACTGCTTTTCAGCATCTCATTCCCCAGTCTGTCTGTACACCCAGGGTTGCCTCATCCCAGGTGCAGAATCCAGTACTTCCCCTTGTTGAACTTCATATGGTTGGTGATTGCCCAGTCCTCTCATTTGTAGAGATCTCTCCACAGGGCCTCCCTGCCTTCAAGGGAGTCAACAGCTCCTCCCAGTTTTGTGTCACCTGCAAACTTTCTTAGTGTCCTTTCCAGTACCACATCCGAGTCATTTATGAAGATGTTGAAGAGCACGGGGCCTAAGCTGGAGCCCTGTGGAACCCCACTAGTGACAGGTCACCAGTTTGATATCACACCATTCACTATCACCCTCTGTGCTCCACCTGTGAGCCAATAGCTCACCCATCACACGTGTTTATCCAGCTGTGGGCTGGACATTTTTTCCAGAAGGATACTGTCAGAGACAGTATTGAAAGTTTTACTGAAATCCAAAAAGATGACATCAACTGTCTTCCCTTTATCAACTATGTGGGTTACCTCGTCTTAAAAAGAAATTAGGTTTGGTAAGCAAGACTTTCCCCTCATGAAGCCATGCTGGCTGTAACCAATGGCTGTGGTGTCTTTCAGGTGTTTATTCAATACCAAGAATAATCTTCTCCAGAACTTTACCAGACACTGAAGCGAGACTGACAGGCCTGTAGTTTTCGGGGTCCTTCTTCTTGAAAATCAGGTCAATGTTCACCAGCTTCCAATCAGCTGGGACCTCTCTGGATTCCTGAGACCACTCAAAAATCATTGAGAGGTTTTGTGATGACATCAGCCAGTTCTTTGAGGATTCTGGGATGAATCCCATCAGGCCCATTGATTTGTAGGGATCCAGCTGGAGCAGCAGATCCCGCACAATTTCAGAGTTGCCTGGGAGATGATCATTCTCACACTCATGGTCCTCCAGCTCAGGTCACTGAGACCCCCTTGGTCCATCATCCATATTGAAGACAGAGGCAAAGAAAGTTTTAAACACCTCTGCCTTGTCTCTGTTCCTGTTCGTGAGGTGACCGTCCTCATCCTGTAACAGGCCAATGATATTTCTATACTGTCTATTACCATTAAATATAGTTGAAAAAACTCTTTTTGTTGTCCCCCACATTTCTGGCCAGCTTCAACTCCAGTTGAGCTTTGGCTGCACAAATTTTCTCCCTGCAGTGGCAAGCAGCATCTCTGTATTTTTACCATGTCACTTGATCTTGCTTCCGCTGGGCACACACCTTCCTTTTTTTTCCTTTCCAATAGAAGATCCCTGCTGAGCCAGGCCAGCCTTCTGCCTTGCCTGCTTGACTTCCAGCATTTGGGAATTGCCTGCTAGGATGCCAAATCAAGATCTGACTTTCAGAAAGAAAATTCTCTGCTATTTTCCATAAACTGACAAAAGAAACAAGGTCTGGCTAAAGCTAAAGCCGAATGCATACTGAGAGGGAAATCATATTCAGGAATTGTTTCTTGGGATCTTCTTAAACAGAAGAACATTTCAAGTGAGGATTCCATACAGCATGAAGCACTTATCAATGTATGTTTAGTGGGGTGGCTGATGGAATTCAGGTCTTACCTGCTCAGCTTTCTGAGGACTTCAAGCTAAAAATGGCTGTGATACAGCTTTCACAATGAACTGGCTACACTGGAGAAATGGTCTGATAAAACAGGGTGAAATTCAACAATGTTAAGGGGAAGGAACTACATTTAATTACACAAATACAGGGCAGGAGACAAACAGTAAAGTAGGAATAGCTAG